GATTTAGGATGTAGTTGAAATTGTACAATGCTTTATGCAGAGTTTTCCGATATAAATATTTTGTTTGGACAGATTTGTCATAGTGAATTTTAAATAACTAATTAAATAACATGAATGAATAAAGACCATAGGCGGATCCAGAGGGGGGGTGCAGGGGTGCGCACCCCTTTGTGCTGAAAGTTTGTTAAATGACCATTGAAACTCGGGTAAAAATGAAGTGTGCACCCCTCCTTTTCTCAATAGTGTGCACCCCCCTTTCTCAAAAAGCTGTATCCGCCCCTGAAGACTGAGCGTGTTTAAAGGAGACAGATGATATTGATGTGAAAAGCTTGCCCAAGCAGCTTACTAATCCTAAACGCATGTAATTATCAGGATCACATAGGTTTCCTTTGTTTTTGAATACTGGTTCTACAACAGCAATCAATCAGCTTTCGGTGGTCAAGAATTAGACTGAGCAGTTCAGTATGCAAATGCGCCGTCTTATCAATCGAGGCTTTGATTGTAGTCATTTGAGACACAATCCAAGCCACTGGATTAGTTGTTTGTTTAAATAATAATCTAAAATAAGACCTCTGGCACTCTTCAAACAACACGAGTCGTATGGGGCGTACAAAGAATGGGTGTTATTCTCTTAGTAAAATTGTGAGGTAAGGCGAACAGTGTACACAGAGTCCTACAGATACTACAGGGGAGGACAACGAAGTCAGGTTGACGCTTTGTCAGTGATGGTCCCTCCTGATTCCTGGCTAGCCTTTCTTCAGGTCTGTCCGCGTTCTTCCCGCTGTCTGCCGAGTCCTACAGATACTACAGGGGAGGACAACGAAGTCAGGTTGACGCTTTGTCAGTGATGGTCCCTCCTGATTCCTGGCTAGCCTTTCTTCAGGTCTGTCCGCGTTCTTCCCTGCTGTCTGCCGAGTCCTACAGATACTACAGGGAGGGACAACGAAGAAGTCAGGTTGACGCTTTGTCAGTGATGGTCCCTCCTGATTCCTGGCTAGCCTTTCTTCAGGTCTGTCCGCGTTCTTCCCGCTGTCTGCCGAGTCCTACAGATACTACAGGGGAGGACAACGTCAGGTTGACGCTTTGTCAGTGATGGTCCCTCCTGATTCCTGGCTAGCCTTTCTTCAGGTCTGTCCGCGTTCTTCCCGCTGTCTGCCGAGTCCTACAGATACTACAGGGGAGGACAACGAAGTCAGGCTGACGCTTTGTCAGTGATGGTCCCTCCTGATTCCTGGCTAGCCTTTCTTCAGGTCTGTCCGCGTTCTTCCCGCTGTCTGCCGAGTCCTACAGATACTACAGGGGAGGACAACGAAGTCAGGTTGACGCTTTGTCAGTGATGGTCCTTCCTGATTCCTGGCTAGCCTTTCTTCAGGTCTGTCCGCGTTCTTCCCGCTGTCTGCCGTCTCCTCCCGCTTTGCTGTCCTGCCTGCTTTTGAAGGCAGATGAACGACTAACGATCTGCGTAGGTCGGAAATTCTCATGGACATTACTTGCTTAGCAGGTCATATTGTGACCTATAAATCTGACAAGCTTGACATATATCTGACAAGCGTACATGACAAACAGTGTTACAGTCGCCCTTTTCTCATAAGAAATTTCATGAGAATTTTCCATTCTGCTGCTTCATTCACATAACATGCGTTCCTAATACATCACGATAAGTATTAACAACATCATAATAATGCATACATGATTGTAGGAGAATCCTCAGTTATACAGTTTGTTTGCATATTATTTTTTGCTGTTTAACGCTCAGCAATATTCGAACTATATGGCAGTGGTCTGTAAATTATCTAGTCTCGACCAGACAATCCAGTGATCAAAAGCATGATTATCGATCTACGCAAATGGGATACGATGACATGTGTCACAGATCATTGAAAGGATATAACTACAGTCATAGCTAACAAATGAGTAATAATACTGCCATCGATTTATCAGCGTTGTGTTTGACGAATGATTAGATGCATTCATTAACTGTCCACGGGCTTCAAGCCGTAGTGGGTAGTGGCAACATGCCCACACACATACAGTTTATCAAATAGCTCTCGGGAAGCATTCTGTACGGACCCACCCTGCAACAAATGTGTGGATTCACATCACTGTTGCCCGGTTCTTTGGACTAGTTCGCCACTCATTGTATCCATTACGTCGGCCCTGTGTTACAGCATCCAATTTCGGATATTGATTTCGCACAACAGACCTAGGCAGTTCATCTTCTAGCCGGTTCAGGTTTCCGGTGGTCATAGGAGGTACAGAGGGTAGTGTTCCTTTGTCAGCGTTATATTCGCCTTCAGTATCAACTGACACCATCTCGTCACCAAGTCAGTGCTATTTATCCCTTTTCCATTTGGATAGCCAGGGTTTCATCCATCTCTTACATATAAATGTGCAAATATAATTACGATAATAAGAACAATAAACGACACAAGAAACTTCATTTTAGTGACTTCAGTTTACTGACTCCTCCTCAACGTTTAGAAAATGCCCCCAATTTGTTGATTATGTATTTTAATAATGTGCCACGGGGTGTACATAAAATATAAGTCAGGATATAGAATAGAATACCCTCTTCAGTCATTACTGGCTTATGAGACAATGCAAAATCATTAAAATATATGTATGTGAGAATGATATTTAAAATTTAAATAATTTAAAATCATTAACAACTACACTTACTTTTCCTTCAGATGAACTGTAATCCAATCGTTCCTAAACCACCTTACAATCTAGGTCCACTCTTTTATTATCAATTTGTTTTTAAAGGTTCGTACAGAAATTGTATAGTTGGTCTAATTAAAAAGTATTGATTTTTGTCCCAAAGAAAAAATGCCTTTTATTCTCTTTTATCCTTTTCAAAAGCTTATATTTGCATTGTAATTTGTGCTTTTCAAAGGAATATTTTAGAATTTTGTTGTTGTTTTTTCTTGCTGTTTTAACACCCCTTAGGTTAGATGTTTACAGGGTGAAGGCAAATCGGATAATAACAGTCAAGAATTTTATATAAATGCATGCTGCGATTATATACTAAATGTATTACTGTAGCGTTTAGTGATTATATACTGAGTGAGTGAGTTTAGTCTTACGCCGCACTCAGCAATATTCAAGCTATATGACGGCAGTCTGTAAATAATCGAGACTGGACAAGACAATCCAGTGATCAATAGCATGAACATCGTTCTACGCAGTTGGGATACGATGACATGTGTCAACCAAGTCAGCGAGCCTGACCACCGTGTAGCATTATATTATACCTTCAGAATGTATTACTGTAGTGATGCGTGTAGCGATATTATACTAAATGGATTACTGTAGCGTGTAGCGATATACTAATTACTAAATGGATTACTGTAGCGTGCAGCGAGTATTTACTAAATGTATTACATGTAGCGATATTATACTAAATGGATTACTGTATTGTGTATTACTGTAGCGTGTAGCGATATTTTATTAAATGTAGCGATATTATACTAAATGGATTACTGTAGCGTGTAGTGATATTATACTAAATGTATTACTGATAGCGATATTATACTGTAGCGTGTAGCGATATTATATACTAAATGTATTACTGTAGCGTGTAGCGATATTATACTAAATGTATTACTGTAGCATGTATTACTGTAGCGATATTATACTAAATGTATTACTGTAGCGTGTAGCGATATTTTATTAAATGTATTACTGTAGCGTGTAGCGATATTATACTAAATGTATTACTGTAGCGATATTATAATAAATGTATTACTGTAGCGTGTAGCGATATTATACTAAATGTATTACTGTAGCATGTAGCGATATTGACAGTTGTGGTAGTTTCATCTTTATCAATATTCCATGGTTAACGAATATTTAATTCAGGAATTTGAAGTTGTCTAAAATGTAGGTGCCAGGACAAAAAATAGCGGCCTGACAATGACAGATGTGTTTCTTTGGCCTGCAATAAATTGCGTTTGAATAAGGATGTCGGTGTTACCGGACTTTTTAAGCGATTCAGCGGGTCAATATGTTTCCCATGTGGCATACATCCTTTCATCCAATGGAACTGAGGAGGCACATAGCCCACCCTGTATGTATATTCTGCCGTGTTTCGAAGAGTACTGTTGCATTATCCCGCCTGGCATCATTTGAAAAATAAATTCAGAGGAATTTACACGCATTTGATGGTGGAATCCAAAGTCAATGACAAAGTGGTACTATACGATTCATATAAGGATTTCGTCATTATCTGATTCAGCTGGTTAATTATTTATTATTATTTTTCAAATTGGAAATATAAGAAACACTATTTTGAGCATTAGTCAGTGAAAGGTATCAAACCTGGCAAATCACTAGCATACTGGTGAGGAGTACAATGTTCTATTTTCATGTTTTATATGCAAACGTACTTTTGCCAAGGTAGAGGTAGCCGGGAAACACAACATTGAAAAGTAGTCTCGTCAATCTCCAGTTTCCTGCAGTTATCGAAAATAACATTCAAATGTGATTCTACGTCAACCAATCAAAATAGGATAATACAATCACTTTCTTATTATTTGGAGTTGTGTCTGGTGTGCACTTTCCACCCAGTTCTGATAAACCCTGATGGATATATTTATATTTTTTTATTGTTTATATTGTGTGTGTGTGTGTGTGTGTGTGTGTGTGTGTGGCGCCAATATCCAGATCACCTGCTCAGAAGCGCTTTGTTTTTCCCTCGATCATTGGATGTCAGTCTCAAATGGCACATTATATTATCAATCTCAACTCCCTGGGAAACATAATATAAGTAAAAGATAGTTTAAAGCGGACAAATACTCCAACACATTCACTCACTACTAGTAATGGTCCCATTCGACTGAACTTTCTCCACCTTGTAGCATTGCGACTTTTCGAATGCATTCTGGCTTCTCGATTTGTACCTCGACACAAGAACGTGACTGAAACGTCATCGTTGTCTTTAAATATAAAAATACAACCTTATATTTATATATATTTCTTTATTGACTGTAACAAACATATTTCACACTAACATATTTATACATATATTCAAAACAATTTGCTGGCGTTACTTTATTATCATTCATCAATGTGCGCAATTAATTGTGCATTCAAAGTATCAGCGCTGATCAGAGTTGGTCATCAGTTGGTAAGAGGCGACTAACGGGATCGAGTGGTCAGGCTCGCTGACTTGGTCTATGCATGTCGTCGTATCCCAAATGTATAGGCCGATGTTCATGACTTCAGTCACTGGATTGTCTGGTCCAGATTCGATCATTTACAGACCACCGCCATACAGTTGGAATACTACTGCGTTAAAACAACAAACAAACGCGTCCGTCCAGTAGCAATGACCACTATGACGTCAAAACGTTTCTGTCGACAGCAGCAGGAACCACTTCAAGACTTAATTCAACATTTTGAATCTCAGAGCTTCTAATTGTCACCCAAATCAAAGCGTGTGCGGTATAGACTCGTTTGCCCAAAGATCCCTGTCATGAAGGAAGGAGGTCGTTGACTCGTCCATGTGGTGATGGTTCGTTTCTTCGGCACCACTTGTTTCCTGAGACCTCTTTGTAGTCTGTAAGACCAAGTAAAGCGAAAGTGTATTGAAATTTACGAAGTCACCAATACACATCCGCGTGGTAGCTTTTCTAATTTCAGATAAAAATATTACGGAAACACGTTGGTAGATCTAGTGGCTAGTTTTCGTTTACTTCAAAGATTCAGGATTAATTCAAAGCATATAACAGATCTTCTAAATATAGATTAATGTATTTTAGAATATTAATCGCTAATTTACTTCACTGTACTGTAGGTGTATTGCTGTAACAACGAGATCAGTCATCATATGTTCCCATGTTAAGTTGTAGGATTGCACGGTATTACTTAGGTTCCAATATATCGCAATACGTATCGGAATACGGGCACCAGAATCGCAATTTATCATCCAAAACTGTCCCACTGGATATATTGCTTGTTAGATCAAACTATATCTCCTTGTATGTGAGATCAAACAATATCTCCTGGAGACATCGTTTTCACAGTAGATTTTGTACAATACCTTAACATCATCAATTACATGACTCACAATGCTATGACGTCAAAAACTTGATGACGTCACAATGCCATGACATCGCTGCAATGCAAGCCTAATGGCAGTACAGTGTTCACAGATATACATTTTTCATTGAAAACTAATGAAGAGTGATTTTTGGTGATAAATAGAATCCCACCTTCGTGTCTACTGATATCAATTATATAATAATAATAATAATAATAGTGCATTTATATAGCGCTAATTCCAAACATAAGGATGCTCAAAGCGCACAAACATTGTTTGATATTAGGGAAATTTAGGGAAAGCTTGGCGAAAGAGGAAAGTTTTTAGTAAGGATTTAAAGGATGACAACGTTTGAGAGTCTTTGAGTTTTTGGGGCAGATTATTCCACTCAGTTGCTGCGGCATACGCAAATGATCTGTGACCGTAGCGGACAGTGTTTGTTTTTGGGACAACAAGGAGAGACTTGGTCTGGGATCTGAGAGTTCGAGCAGGTTGGTATGTCTGAAGAAGGTTGCAGAGATAGACTGGAGCTGATCCGGAGATACATTGGAAGGTCAGGGACAGGAGCTTGAACTTGATACGGAAATGAACAGGAAGCCAATGAAGAGATTTGAGTAATGGAGTGGTGTGTGCCTGTCTGGGGGTAAGGGATGCAATTCTTGCGGCTGTGTTTTGAACATGCTGAAGTCTGTTGATCAGAGATTTGGGAGCCTTAATCAAGAGGCAACACTCGTTGATAAAAGTAAAACTATCCTCTGCATGGCTCGGATATGTGTAACTAATTGATATCAGTAGACACTTGGGTGAGATTCTCTATATATTGCAATACAGTATATTTGCCAATACACAGCCCTAATTATTTGTTAAGACATAAATAAAGCGCACGGCAGACTGCGACCAACTGTGCAGAGTTGAGCTCATTGGAGCCAGATACTCTTGATTCGAGGTTCGAATATATTATATGATATTTATATAGCGCCAATGTCCAGTTCAGCTCAGCTGCTCAAAGGCGTTTTGTTTTTCCCTTGATCACAGGATGTCAATCTCAACGGCAAATCGCATTTTTCAATCTCAACTCCCTGGGGATCATACACCTTTGCAGCCATTTAGGCGCAAGAGATCCCGGTTCGCCCCGACCATGTTTCTAGGTTGTCTTCGCAGGTTTCACAAAAGATCTTTCTTTGTACATTAAATCAATTGCCAAATACAATATAAAAGTGTTTACCTTGTGAAAACGTAAACGTTCTCTCCATGACTCTGGTAGGAATGGACACAACTGGTCAACTAGTGGGCAAATCAGCTCTGGTCTTAAATCTTCTGGTTTCGTACATCCTGAAATAAGAAAACACTGACAATCTGACTTTGCAAATGTGTTATGTTTTAAAAAGCACACCGACATGAAACCAATCCAAAGATTAATGCTACTCGAAAGAAAATATATCAGTTTTAAGGGACCGTTCATAATTTATGGCAAGAGGGGGAAGAAGTGATGATGATTTTTATGGAGAAGCATGTACATTGTGATTGACCCCCCCTAAAATTTATGTACAAAATAAGTAACAACCCCTTCATGTCATGAACAAATCAATGACACACACACACACACACACCCTCCCATTCCCATAATTTCCAAGCATAATTTACAAAACTGCTGACCCAGTTTTAAATAATTAAACGCTTTTCTTCACATACATACAGCCGCCATATAGCTGCAATATTGCTGAGTGCGGCGTAAAACTAAACTCACTCACTCACATACATACAATTCATGTGTACCCAAAATAGCCATACCTGTAAGGGCACTGACGAGGAGACCAACGACAATTTCTATTAAGAGGGCCGTAGGAGATACCACATGTAGGACATTTTGTAGATTGATAATACTGTACTTGCAGTGCTGAAAACGAATACATAATATTCTCTGAGTCATATTATGACGCTATATTAACCTGAATCATGATGGAATGTATAAAATTATCTGAATGTGACAGAGGTCATGTATGACTGGTGCAAGGCGTCAGCGTCAACAAACCGACTTGATTATATTCACGAAATACCAGAGCGTACACTGGGAACTGTAACTGGCATGTTGAATCATTGACCCCGTATATACTGCACCTAAATATACCAATTATTGTTATGGCGCCTAATCAACGAGGATAAAAACGAGAAGCTGGAACACCAGGGCCTAGATTTTCGAAGCTCTCTTAGCGCTAAGATAGTCGTAAGTGCCATACATTAACATTAACTTACGACTATATTAGCGCTAAGAGAGCTTCGAAAATCTAGGCCCAGTACTTTGAACCTTGAGGCAAGGAGAACTCGGCTATCGCCTGAAAAATAAAGGACCTATTTTCTGGGACTGCTTAAATTGGAGATAACTTTGTAGATGGGGGTCGAATCCCCACATGGGCACAGTGTGAAGCCCATTTCTGGTGTCCCCGCCGTGATGTTGCTGGAATATTGCTAAAAGCGAAAACCCAACTCAGTCAGTCAGTCAGTGTATGGGGGCAAGTGTCCGGATTCCCGAGTATCTCTCTGGTATCGGACCAAGTGTCACAGACATTTTATGGTCTCAAATACATCGCTTCTTTACCATCTTCTACTTGAGAACAATGACCGCTATTGAGTGACAAGTAGCGCATTTTATTGACCTTCCACTTTTTGCATTGTTGGTTTGTTGTTTAATTCCGCACTCAGCAATATTACAGCTATATGGCGGCTGCCTGTGAATAATGGCGTGTAAACCAGACAAGCCAGTGTTCGAACGTACGAGCATCGATCTACACAATAGGGATACGATGACATCTGTCAACCAAGTCAATGAGTCTGACCACCCGATCCCGTTAGCCGCCTCTTACGACAAGCATAGGTTACTGAAGACCAATTCTAACCCGGATCTTCAAGGGTCTGTAAATAATCGTGCTTGGACCAGACAATCCAGTGATCAACAACATGAGCACCCATCTATGCAATTGGGATACGATGACATGTGTGAATCAAGTCAGCGAGCTTGACCACCCGATCCCGTTAGTAGTCTCTTACGACAAGCGTGGGTTGCTGAAGAGTGAGTGAGTGAGTGAGGTTAGTTTTACGCCGCCGTTTGTTGTACTCGGCAATATTCCAGCTATATGGCGGCGGTCTGTAAATAATCGAGTCTGGACCAGACAATCCAGTGATCAACAACATGAGCATCGATCTGCGCAATTGGGAGGGTTGCTAAAGACCAACTAGTAGTAGTACTCCTTCTTCTTGGAATACCACGAAGCATTCTTTAACGCGCAATGATACACGGTCTCGTCACACGCGGTATTAATAATCGATATCTATAAATATGAGTCAATGTTCATCAGCTGTCAACTTTGGGCAGAAAAATATGTTATACTGGGAGGAAAGACCACAGGCGTTGACAACACTGGAGAAATATTAAATGACATTCCATCACTCACTTACTCAATGGTCACCTACCTAGTATTGTTGAAAACAGTATGCGTTGCGTTTATTGTGAGCTGGGACGTTAACTCAACCGTTGCTGGAGAAACGTCAACTAGCGTTGACTGAGTGACGTTCCAGTTGCATCCGCTAGTGATGAAAGACGATGGAGGCACATATGATGCTCGGGTAACAAAGGCTCCGAGTCCTATCCAACACATCACTCCTAGTGATGTCAGAGATCCAGCCAACGCACCCTGAACAAAACATGTATTGTAAATGAATTAAGCTTTTCTCTTCTCTTATATATCACGATCTGAAACTTTCAAGTATTATAGGGGTGGTGGGGTAGCCTTGTGGTTAAAACGTTGGCTCGTCACGACGAAGGCCTTGGTTCTATTCCCCACATTGGTACTAAAGTGGTGTGAAGCCCATTTCTGGTGTCCCCCGCCGTGATATTGCTGGAATATTGCTAAAAGCGGCGTAGTACCATATTTACTCACTCACTTACAGTAAAATAACAACTTACCCATTTGTTTGCCCTTGGAAAGAACATCCCAAGTATAAAGAGCCCAAACAGCGGTCCACTGGTGATACTTGCAACAGTGTATGTAGCCTTTTGTATATAAAAAAGATTATCATGAATTTAATAAAGATCCTTTTAAAACATGTAAGGATAAATACGTTCAAAAGGTATTTACAATACTGTAAGTGAGAAATCATAAGTTAAACCTAGTTTCACTTGTTTGGGTTTTGTTTTTGTTTTGTTTTTGTTTTGTTTTCATTTTTGAACCTGTATGATACAGCTATATATACCCGCCTGTTTGTGAACAGAAAGGTTCATACTTCTAGAAGAGCAGTATTGCTTGATTATCTAATGGAAGATTGAACAATTGACAACGGAAAACCAACAAAATGTAGGCATAATGTTGATGTATATGCTCTGTACGTGAAAATTGCCAACACTGTTGATTTTGTTGAATAAATATGGCATGATGAGATAGTTGTCTGTACAGATCTCGCTGTCTGTACGGGTCCCTTGAAATCGAGGGAGATGTTTCACATCAGTATCTCGTGTATCCGCCACGGGCCTGGATGACAGCTCCCATCCTCCACCCACATTTTGTACAGAGGGCCCCTTGCCCTTGCCCTTGCCCTTGCCCTTGGGGTACCCAAACCAAGAACCTTGGTTGACAAACGTCCGTTGGGCAGTCAGAGTTGCTTCTAACGAATGATCATGGCGAAGGGTTCACGACTCACGTAACGGGCCACATTACGATTTTCCGCTGGAATGGTCTTCCAAGGTTGCCCTACCCTTGGTCGACCCTTATACCGCCTGTTTGTTGGTGCTTTTTCCGGATAAGTCTACTGATGGCAGTGGCAATAACCAAACTGACAGCCGATTCCCTTTAATGACGTCCAGGAGCATGCCTCCCACCATCTGCCATTTCAATCTCAATGAAAGTCTTGCCTCGTTATGCTTTTCGTGATATACGTGGGTAGCATGCTTTACATGCATGTCGCGGCAGTTTGGCAAACCTTTACCATCTGAAACTTGTTTTTCATTACCCGAAATGTGCTACTAAACAATAGCATCACTGTCATATCATCATCACTATGATGACATATATTAGGGGGTGTTAATTAGGCTCCATGTGTATAGTTCTGTATAGAATACCATGTTACAATACCTGCAGTATTCCTCCTAACCTGGAGACCATAAAAGCGAACCCAATTGTTGTAATGCCAAAGAGTACCACTGAAAAAATTGAGAAAGGGAATCAACGGACACGGTAATTATGACAAATTGTGTTGGTACTTTCGTCATTTCTTGTGTTACATTCAAATCTCATTTCTGCCAAGGAGCAAGAATTAGCTCTGAAACTTCGTATTAAGAATATAAAGAAGTTGTTATCCATAACACATGTCATTTATTCATGTCACTTCTAAATACCTTTCAAGAATTTCAAGAACAGCTTATAGTCTAGTCAAAGAAATTACGCCACCGGTATGTTACAATTCACCACAGCTAAAGTCACGGACATCACCTATATTTGTTACCACCGTGATGAGTAGTAAAGTACATAGACAATCATCAAATGTGCCTCCAGCCCCACACAAATGTCATACAATGTCATTGTATAATTGAAATAGCAATGAGGCCTTAAGCCTAGCTCATTCACTAAAAGCATCCATGCGTCCACATATCAAAATATGAAACACGTTTCAAATTTCAAATGTTATGTAGCTTACCAATGGCTTTCGACAATACGGTCAACATTTTGTCGCCAATTCGTTTACAACAAAATGGTTGAATGAGATCTCGAGGCACCACAGCGCTTAAGGCCGTCAGTGAAGATGACAGGGTGCTGTTGAACAATGAAACAGAAATCAGGAATATTGACATGATCAGTGGTCATGACGCTAACACTATTCAATGACAAACATTTGTGTATCTATCGTATATTGAAAACCGGATTCATATACTGTGTCCTTGTGATAAAGTGGTAGTACTGTAAATGAACTCTTATTCTAGTTCTTGTACAAAATGTATGACGTTTTAGCATCTGGATCATAAATCGAAGCTATCTTACATCGAGTATATTATAGCCATGTAAAAGAAGTTTTAAGTGGCATTTTAGAATCTCAAGTATCGGCGGAATTATCTCCATCGCCCTAATTCCCTCAATCCTCGAAAGCTGCGCTGGCTGTGTGAGTTAGATGGCTGACTTTATGAGCTGGCGATCAGGTGCCTTACCCAGAGTGTGTAGGTTCGAATCCCGTGTGGGTAATGGAATCTGTACTTTACTGAGAAAGTGTAATTCCAGATATAACATATGTTGCATTTGACCACTTTCTACAAGGCTTGGATTGTTTATTTCCCAACGAGTTGCAAACCTACACCAAGAACCCTAGATTCTTTCCCTGGGTTCTCAAGTTTGATTTAACAGACCAATCAACCGGCCATATATGGAAAAAGGTTTGGTTTGGTTCAGGTTGGCTTTTGTTTAACACCGCACTCAGCAATATTCCAGCTATCTGGCGGCGGTCTGTAAATAATCGAGTCTGGACCAGACAATCCAGTGATCAATAGCATGAGCATCGATCGATTCAATTGGGATACGGTTAATAATTTGCCGTGAGGAAAGGTTTAAAAGTCCCCTTTGAACCAGCAAAATAGAACACAGACAAGTCTAAAATATTCAATAATATATTGAACAATGAGCAAACTACAATGTGTTTCGATGTTGGATTTGTATTATGATTGCTCCCTTTAGATTTTATACAATGACTGGCATACCTTGCATGTACCAATATGGCGACGTATGCATTAAAGGTCAATGAAAGCAGACCCGCTTGTTTTTATTGAATGGTGGAATGGCAAAGCCATGTCAGCACGACAACATGACGAAACACAATGAATCACAATTCTGATTTCTAGTACAATGTAATTGAATCACAAATCCACTGTAATGGGTCACAAATATAAAATATTACCTCACCAGAGTCTTGACATTTACAGTGAGAGCACATGTACTGAATGAAGGTTGTTTACAATGACATATGTTGAATATAGACGAGCAAGGTCCTTTATATAGCTCTTACACAGTTCTCGAGGATTCTAGTAAGGGGGGGCAGCATCACTATCCACTCAGAACATTATAGAAATTCGTCGACATGACAAAACAAAATAAAGCCAAGGGAGGCAACTCTGGAGCGCTATCAAAAAGGCGTACCGCTTAAAAAATAATATTGCCTTTGAACATACATGATGCAAGATGTGAGCCGCAACCCACACTCAAAACTTTAAAAACATTGTGACCCATAATAATTATCACTAAAGCAATGATATCACAAAGTACAAAAAACACAATCTCGTAACACAAGTCAGCGAGTCTGACCACCAGATCCCGTTAGCCTCTTACGACAGGCATGGGTTGCCGAAGACCAATTCTAACCCAGATCTCCACGGGTTATGGAAAAAGGAAATTGGTGAGGGGAAACACTGGTACTGGCTAGAAACGAAAGAACATGACGATATCCATTCGATTTAAGGGATTTTTCTTTTGGGTGTCAGTCCGTTCGTCAATGTTAAATTTATGGCAAATCTAATCATTATCAATACACTTCTCACAATGTTGTAGGTATTGCCAACTCAATAATGGGGGTGGGGGGGTTATTGCTTGCATTCTGATATTGGTCCTTTTGACTGAATAGAATACCTAATCAAAATGACCAATGAAAATCAAAAGGGGGGGGGTGTTAAAGTTTGCAAATTACGGAAATGGATCCAGGGGTTAGTAATGTTTTACCGAGAGGCAAGCCCTGAAATATAAAGTATTGGTTTCTATTCAGAACTTTTATCGCGCAAGACAACTTTGTCGCACTGAAAATTTATAAGACGTTAGAACACACGTCTTCACTGTGAAAATACCACACACTGCTGTCACAGAGACAAGGGTCCCTTTCACAAACAAAATTGAACTGACCTCAGACTGCCACTAAATAAACAGGAGATGAAGATTCCAGGAAGGCCAGGAAGATGTCCCAGAATGTCCATAATATACAGAGGTAGAATCTGTTTGGCGAAACACGTGCATTGATGACTGTCCTTTGTAACGTTGTACAGAAGGATTTCCAAACGGAATTCACATAACGAACACCACATACATTGGAATGCAATACAGAAAGTTTTCCAGATGACATTCATATAACCAATTCGTAATCTATTTATACATACATAATGGAAAATACAACTCATTATCAATACGTTATCACTCTTTTACCATTATTTTGTATGGACTAAGATTTGTTTCCAATTTCACCGTGATGAATTCTATAATATCAATTATCAATACGACAGGCCAAAATGTTATCGTCATTTTATAAAGAAAATTTAAGCTTTAATTTTATTTTTCTTTTTTGTTATAAATTTGTCTGAAATGTAATTTAAGAAATGTTTTGTCAATATTGACAACTAAAGTTCCACATACCTGATCGCTTCGTGATATGAGATTGTTGAACTTCAAAGGGTGACAGTCCTTGTAAAATGCAAACATGGTCACGCCCAGAAGACAACACACTGACATGATGGCGGCCAAGAAAGGAGCACTAATCAGCATTGCCCTAATGGTAAAATAAAAGCAAAATAATTTTTAATAATATCTCAAGGTTATTTGAGTTACAAACACACACACCATCATCTTATTATTATTATTATTATTATTATTATTATTATTATTATTATTCATCATCATCATCATCATCATCATCACACGACCATGGAAATTATAAAGAATTTAATAATTAAGTTATTTTTTAAAATTACAATGCAAGAGTTACCAAGCAACTAATTTGAACTCACAGTTTAGCCCTTGTGACACTGGAGCAAGATGAGGTCCGCTGGATCTGAGCTTGGCCCGTAGACAAGTTCACCCATAAAATGCTACCGCCTAACACGAATCCCCAGAAAGAATGGCGGGTAGATGGATCGATGTTGAAACTATCGAAAAATCAAACAAACAAACCAACCATTAAACAATAGTACATATATTTGTGTGTTGGCTATAGGGTTAGAATATGCGTATGTGTAAAAGCTGTACTGTTATGTAACCCTTAATGTTACAATTTCGCGTGGACCTTTCAAGAGACAAAAGAAGGACCTACAAGAAGCCCTTGTTTTGGGTGTTGTTTCTTGAAAACGTATTTAAGTTACATGATGTAACATTAATAGTGATCCAGAGAGTGAAAACAGATAAGTTTTCGAATGTTTTTTGGGGATGTTTTTGGTTGTTTTTTGTTTTTTGTTTGTTTTTTTGAGGGGTGAAGACAAGAAAGTAACTTAAACTTGAGATTAGAGGTTATGAATTGTTTACCGAATGTGTTCACATTGGCTACTTGTTAATGTTTCAGAGCATACTGTCATACGCATAAATACACATAAATAAACACCTGGTGTCGTTAATGATCCATTCATACAAAGGATATATTTTGCCCTTTTCGCCCGAAGGAATCCCCCTCGGCAGAAAAAGAAGCCGGATATTTTCCAAGCGCTAACAACGGGTATTTTATGAGTAACTTGACACTTGTCACTGAGGGTGAAATCCACAGCCTTTAGTCGATTCTTATGACAACAGGTTTGTTTGGATCTATTCTAACCCCGGTTAGCATGGAGCAATTTGGGATTCAATTTCACTTTAAAATGCGATTTGAGAATAATAACGTTTCAAGATTTTATTTTTGTAAACTTACTCTGTAAAATATATGCGTGACCTCTCCTCGGCCACCGTCCATGCAACTTCAAGCCCTCCAACAACTCTCAAACCTTGGACAAGAGCAGCAGTCAAGCCCCCTATTATGACAATTGCCTGGAAGGTGTCAGTCCACAGCACAGCCTTCATGCCACCCTGCAGAAATGGAAGTCATGGAACAGTCACGTTTATTACTGAATTTAATGTTGTTTCATATACCATGAAGTGATCGCTAATCGATTGTTTGGTTGTTTTGTTGTTTGGTGGTGGTGTTTTATTGTTTTTCAGGGTTGTTTGGGTTGTTTTGGGAGGTTCGGGTTGCGGTGGGGGTTCGTTTTGGTGTGTGTGTTTTGTTTTGTTGTTGTTTTGTTGTTTTTTGTTTGTTTTGTTGTTTTTGTTTGTTTTGTTTGTTTGTTTGTTTGGGGTTGGCGGGGTATATTTTGGGTTGTTATTATTTTTAAAGTTTACCCTACCACATAGTTTAGTCTTGTGTGCAGGATTATATCTCTAACTACTAATACTCACTATAGCTGTGTAAAATGTGACGACTGTTCCCACTGCTATCACGGATCCCCATAAACTGAAATCTGTTGCTGGAAATAGATTGCCAAATACTAAGGTAAAGAGAACAAAAACTCATATAAATATAAAACTCAAAAATGCATACTTTGAGTGCTGAGCGCAGACACAAAAGAGAGAAAAACTCCAGTAATTTAAATTTGGTGTGTCCCAGTTCAGGTAGGAATAAAACGTCAACGTCACTGAGTAATCAGTCTTGATTATCCCCGGAAACAGATCCCATTATCCCGTTATCACATACCAGTTGAAGCATCACCAAAGATCTGGGTTAGAATTGGCCTTCAGTAACCCACTCTTATTGGGTGGTCAGGCTCCCTGACTTGGTTGACACATGCCATCGCATATATCGATGTTCATGATGTTGATCACTGGATTACTGGTCCACACTCAATCTGTTTACATACCGTTGTCATACAGCTTGAATATTGCTGAGTGCGGCGTTAAACAACAAACAAACAAGCATCGCCGATCGTAATCGGCACTGATTCATCTCAACCCTAGAATTGTCGGCTGAGACAGTTTCATTCCAAAGATGCACACACCGAATAAGGTTGTCAAGGTACTAACCGAATACGGTGTATTGCTGACCCCTTTCCAAAGAGTCGGTTTTGTGTTTTTCGATTAAAAATCATTTAACAGTTCTTGCAACTCCATTTCGCGTCATTCCTGTTTCTGCAGCATACGTTGTATTTCAGCAAGCCATTTCATTGAGTAAGCTTCATTTACAGTTAAGCTTTTAGTCATGTTCGCTACTGAGAACCTAATTTTGAGTTGAGGGGAAATGGACGTGTTTCCATTATGTGTTTATTTCTCCGTTTTGGTCAGGAAGTCTCACATTTACGTACCGTGAAGATTCGGGTTAGAATTGATCTTCAATAGCATATGCTTGTCGTAAGAGGCGACTTACGGGATCAGGTGGTCAGGCTCGCTGACTTCACACATGTCATCGGTTCCCAGTTGAGTAGATCGATGCTCATGCTGTTGATCACTGGATTGTCTGGTCCAGACTCGATTATTTACAGACCGCCGCCATATAGCTGGAATATTGTTGAGTGCGGCGTAAAACTAAACTCACTCACTCACTCACATTTACGGATGATCAGACTGATCATTAGTTATATGTTGTTTGTTGGCATTTTCTGACACGTGACAACAGACTTTTGTACAAATGTGCCCTTCTATACATAACACGGTCTTTGGCTAGATCACCAGATGCTCAGAAGGTACCCCGCCTTTAAAGCGGTGATCCTTAGCTAACTTTGAGTAGTATATAGAATGCTACACTCGTATTAGTCGCTCGGCGAGGTTATCAGCAGCTGAGTTGGCTATTGCGGACACTTCATGTGTAGCCTTAGAACTGTAGTCGTTGTGGCAGAAGTTAATCTTTATTATTGCGCCATATGTGACGGCTGTTTCATTCATTCTGAGTTGTGTTGTCGACATGAGATGTCGCTTTTTTGCCACAACACAAACAGACTGCAAGAGCAGAGGTTACGTTCAGCATCGTTAGGTATGAAGTCAAGCGAGTTATCCAAAAATTATGAAATCGCGTGCTTGTTATGAATGAAAAAGTAGTTCTGGATCACGTGATCCAGTGGCGTGACCAAGACTGTCCAATCAAACCGCGTGAATCAACCCAGTTGGACACATTTCGCTCTTGCGCGTCACACGTGTGTCGTATGCGTTTTGTATACCACCATCTGCCGGTTCATGAGTGTAATACATATGTATATCAGTATCACGGAAAGATGCTTTTTGACTTCAGAAGTACAATTTGGTAGACGGTGGTGTTTTTCACACGTACATGTTTAATGGCTGAATGTGCAGAATAATAGTCATTGTCGTATGAAACGGATTTAAAATTAGAAGTGTAAAACAATATAGATAGGTAGGTAGGTAGGTAGGTAGGTAGGTAGGTAGGTAGGTAGGTAGGTATAGATATAAGCAAAAAGGCGATGAGATACACGTCCCTTTTAGTATCATGCAATCAGTAATCGAATATTATTATAAAATCGAGAGGGAAAACAAAGTTAAAACTCGTAGTTGCAGGATTCCGTTGACCGCTACGCCGGAATAAACATTGTGCAAGAACATAGCGTGTGAAGTTTCCTCTTAAGAGTCACTTGACACCCAGTGATCAAAGGAACATTGATAAAGAAATTATTGATACTTCGGTAAAGGCGACGTTTCCAAGCTGAGCTGAAGGAGTCTACTTGTAGCTTATAATTTACGGCCTCCAATTTTAGCATTGTTATCGGGGCGGAACGCCTTAACACGTTTTATGGTAATTTATATGCTGAAACCTAACCTGAAAACGACACAAGTTGATAAAGGGGAACAACTTACATAAGCAATCCAAGACACGTGACAGAAATACATGAAATTAAAGATATTTCTATTTGTTCATGAAAGTGAGTGAGTGAGTGGGTTAGTATGGTTTTAGAAATATTCCCGCAATTTCACGACGGGGGACACCAGGATTGGTTCATGAAAGTAACAAAACTCCTTTCGTAGTGAAGCTATTTCTAAAAGTGGAGCCGATCGTACGATTCCGACTGTAACATGACCAGGTGTTTTTGCATGACTATTAAACACTGATGGTAACAGGTGAAAGGTGGATACTCTATACAAACACATGCAAAGGCACATCAATAGACCACGAAGACCATACGGTACAAGTTAAAATTGGGCATTGCATCGATCATCAGTAGTATGGCGGATGTGTCAGATTTTGAAATGTCATCGAAAGTCTTGCATAAACCATTTGAAAGCTTTGAAGAGGTCTTGCCCCATCTAAGCTCGATCAAACAGCTTTTGACACGTATACGTCGTACAACGTACTTTGAAATCATCATTGAAACAGCACGGTCGATTTTTTCTCAAAAGTTGTGGAATGTAGACACCAACGGTAGTGGCTGTTGTAATATTGCTCGACAGAGAGGGAAGGTTTAAATAATCCTTCTTGTCGAGCAGTCTTGATGAGAATTTGTTTGAACTGTATATGTTACATTTGACACTAAACAATGACTTTAATAACAGTTATACTGCAACTGACAACCATTCGGGTTTCTATCTCACCAAAACCTAAAGCAAAATAGCGGTATAAACCCCATTAATGGTCCACTGAAAATCAGTCATGACACCAGGTGTTCGCGAAAAGTGCACGCATACCCCGCTCACATGTACTCTTCAAACCGGATTAATTCGTATCTATTTTCCATGTACATGTGTGATAGAATTGCCATACCCAGATTATCCTCTTCAGATTTACTCATTGTCTTTCTGTATGACGTCAATTTTATTGCAAATTGTTCATTCATGTCCATGTGATTTACAATGAGTGAGTGAATGAGGTTTTACGCCTCTTTTAGCAGTATTTTGGTAATATCACGGCGGTGGACACAGAAATGGGCTTATCACATTGTACCCATGTGGGGAATCGATACTTAGTTTTCGGCGTCTCGAGCGAACGCTTTAACCGCTAGGCTACCCCACCGCTCCGTTTATGATTTAAAGCCCATGAGTGTCGTAAGAGGAATCGGCTGGGCGGGATCGCATACTTGGTTATAACATGTTATTTTAGTTCGGTGCTCATGATGTCAATCACCGTCATCGTATAATAATAATAATAATAATAATAATAATAATAGTAATGTGTCCATTTATATAGCGCAAAACTCCACACTAGGTATGCTCATAGCGCTAACAATCAAGACACAGCACATTATTACCCCAGATAACCCAAGCTGCCTGTTAGGCGCTAGAAGGTTATAGTCATATGACTTTTTCCACCGGGTACCCATTTTCCTGCTGGGTGAACAGAGACAATTTTGAACAAACTCACTTGCCTAAGGTGAGACCACATGTGTGACATGTGCTTCGTTGTGGGGCAGCCATCCAAGGACTCTCCGAGCTCGACGCTGCTTAACTTCACCGATTTGTGACCTGAGCTTTCAGCACAGGACCACGCGCCACCATCGTATCGCAATAGTCTGGTCCAGACATGATTATTTTACGGGGCGGTGGGGTAGCCTAGTGGTTCAAGCGTCTGCCCGTCACGCCGAAGACTGATTTCCCACAGGTGAAGCCCATTTCTGATGTACCCAGCAGTGATACTGCTGAAATATTGCTAAAGTCGGCGTAAAATCATACTCACTCACTAACTCGTGGTTATTTACAGACCATCGTCATACAGCTGGAAATATATCATTTCACGCTACAAGACAGGGCATATATTATCTTGTCACAATGTATCACTTTCACAAGTTGAAGAAATGCGCTAAATCGCAGTGTCACCTTTTGTCTCGACGAACATGTTATTTGGACAGTCAGGTTTAAACTTGTCAGTCCGTTGATGCAAAATAGCCCTCTTATATCTTCTCCACAATTTGTACATATTTTATACCTAGTCCTAATTGCCACACTAGCTGTCATGTTTCTGAGAGGTAATCCCTCTTATTGCATAAAGCATGGCGTTAATATCATCCATGTGTGCTGAAAATTGAAAATCTGAATGAAGTTCATCATCCCCGTCATATTCGAAAACCTTAGTTTAATCCCAGATAATACCGATCCCATGTAAAACACATTAAACATGAACTTCAGACCAATATAAACTGTTTGTCACAAAAAAATAATATATAAAAATCATTTCCCTACATCCCTGGGACGGGTAATTACCCTTACAATGACATTTAATGAGACTTTTACTGGAGGCAATTGTGAAAAGAAAGACATATAATTCAGATTATAAGAGTAAACGCTAAATATATAGTGGGACTCTTATAATGGATTCCTATGAATCAGCAAACGGTTTGTCGTTTTTATGGAGGTTATAACTCTTTATTCTCTCCTCTAAGGGTTACTAGCGCTGTAAACGCTTCTGGGATATAACTGTTTTTTCAATCATGAACTCCCATAGAGGTTTCAGGTTTAAATCGGTCTCCCAGCAGTCTATAGTTATTATGAGATGACTTAATGGATCAGGAGAACGGACACAGCCGGATGGTTGTGTGTTTGTGAACATCGTGACGTGTGACATATCAAATTGATGGTCTTTTCCTGTGTGAACAAGCGTACAAATACACTTAATGGTTTATAAATAACTACTTCGGTGAATGCTCAAAGGTGGAATAAATTAATCTTACTTACTTGCATACCTGAAGAACATATATAAATTTGATAATGGTGTGTCAATGTGCTATGTTTGTCTTTACCTGCATTCAAGGCCAGCGATGGAACGTACAAGACGAACGCCATATAGGTCAGCTGGTGAAAAAAGGAAATGATTATACACCCTTGAAGTTTGTAACTATTCATCTATATGATACCATAATCATTAACTATCAGGTGACCACAGGGTCGTTATTTGGATATTTATTTGTTACCATAATCCAAATAGGGAAGGAAGGACACATGATTCATACTATGGGTTGAGTGTCATACTTTCAAAGAGGAAAGCGACACTTTGTCAAAAAAGTTATTGTTCTTTAGTTTTCTTAGTTGTAAATAAACCAATTCTTACCGCTTTGATGAGGAACAGAATGGACCCCAAGACACGAATGCCTCGGCCAAATCGCATATCTAAATACTGAAATACAAACAGAAGGCAAAAAACATTATTTTCATTTCTACCCACATATTGTAAATGCTTTTCAGCGATTTCATTTTCTCTAACCACAACTGACCCGTGAAGATCCTGGGTAGAATAGGTCTTCAGCAACCCATGCTTGCCACAAAAGGTGACTGCTTGTCGTAAGAGGCGACTAACGGGATCGGGTGGTCAGGCTCGCTGACTTGGTTGACACATGTCATCGGTTCCCAATTGCGCAGATCGATGCTCATGTTGTTGATCACTGGATTGTCTGGTCCAGACTCGATTATTTACAGACCGCCCTCATATAGCTGGAATATTGCTGAGTGCTGCGTAAAACTAAACTCACTCACTCACTCACTCTAACCACAATTATCATGCCTATTGACGCATGTGAGATTATGGTGATTTTACCTCATTTCAATAGATTAACAGAAAAAGGACATGGTAAACAATGTACATCTTTGGTCAATGCAGGATTAACTGAGGACATAAGTGTAATGGTTGTATGAATGAAGTACAAAGAAAATGAGATGGAAAAAGAGATAGGAATATAGGAAAGTAAGAATGCTGAATATATGTATGTTTTGTAGTATCCAGGTGTATGAATATTGTATTATTTGCTATCCTAATAATAATGATAAAATCTTTGATCAATAAGGAACGTCAACGCCAATAAACGATGAATCGAGTCGCGACTATATACCACACAGACTCCTCCTGACGTTAAACAGCGATGAAAGGTACATGAATACATAAAACTTGATGTTCATGAAAAGGGTAAGCGAGTGCTTCGGTAACATCCGCTCATTACGTACATTCACATTCAGGTAATTGATATTTCTTTATGACAAATTTACTATATTTGTTTACTATATATTACGATATCGTCTTACCTCATAAACACTGGTGACGTTTAGATTATAAAAAAACGGGACGAAGACGATAGCAGCGAAGACGAGACCGATGGATGCTGACAGACACATCCACCAGATCATTGTGTTGTAGGAGTAAACTTCTGCCGGCATCCCTAGCAACGTCGTCGCTGAGAACGACGTCACAAGGATGGACAACGATACAGGGACAATGCTCATCTGACGACCCCCGAGTAAAAAGTCTTTAGAGTTGGTGCTCTGCTTGTCCTTGATTGCATAGTATATACCAATACCTGTAGACACTGCTAGAGTTGCTCCAAAACAAGCATAGTCAACAATACTGAACGTCTTCTTGACACCGGTGTATATGCTGTAGTCTCCCATTGTGAAGAGATCCTAACTGGGGAATGAGATCTAGTTATATTGCAAACAACGAGTATGACCCATGTCACGTGGCTCTACTTTGGTCCATTATACAATGGGGCTGTAGCATTACCATATTACCGTAACATCAATCATTTCTTTTGAACTAGCTATTGATGAGTTGTGGAAAGTACTATAATTTCGGTGAATGGAAAATGGGGACATATGTTGTCTGTCTTGTGTTTATTTGTTTTAGATGCCTGCATATATATACTACTTCAGTGATATTTGATATAAACTGGTTTGTTACTCCCTGTAAGTGCATCTTATATATGCCAATAAAAGAGCAGATTTACATTTATTGCAATTTGCTTAAATTAAAAACTACGCGAGAGAACGTTATTCGGGCCTATTTTTCAGAACACGTTTTGTAATTTTTCTTAAACCAGCATAGAGACAAACTCAGTTTGACACGTACTTTTTAACACGATATCTGTTGTCGACGTATGACGTTATAAATGACGTTATACATAACAGCGAGAGAAGAAAACTTTTATTTATATCTCTGATAAATGCAGTGTCCATACTATTCTGACTATATCATGAGCAATTTGATGGGAAAGCCACATTAACTTGGTGCGCCTTGTGGCTGCAAGAGTTGTATGCTCCCCATGGATTTGATAATACGATGTGCCGTTTGAGTTTGACATCCAATGATCGAGGGAAAGTCAAAGCGCCTTTGAGCAGCTGAGCCGGATATTGGCGCTAAACAAATGTTAGTATAATGGTAATAAACAAAAGTGATAATACAAGGTTTTCGCGAAACCAATTAGTCTATCAAGCCTCTGAGGTTGTGTCCATCACAAACACACGCAAAGGCAAATCAATGTGATTTGTTCAACATACACCGGACTATAATGACACAAGGTACAATAAAGGAATGTATTCGGAATATTTGTATCCCTGATGTGTCATATCCGGAAATGTCGTCCCATCTTAAAATGTCCGTCACGGTTTAAACATATTGTTCACAGGCAATAAAGATGCCTGAAGCGCAGGATTATGTGACGCGCCGACGCCCGAGAAGCATTTCCCATTTTGAAGAACGCTTAAAACAACTTCACAAACAAACAATTAAGGCTAACGCTGGTGTATATATACAAAATTAGAAATTCCTTTCGAAACGAATCAATGAAGGTCTTCCCAAGGCTTGAACAAAATCTTGTGAAGAATCGGATGCGAGACATATGATCATTTTGATTCAAATAATCGATATTGATTATGCCCTGGTGATAACGATCTAAATTTAGAAAGTTTGCTACACAGCATGACAAAGCTCTCCCGACAGGAATTTATGAAGGCTTTCCAAAATTTAGGCCAAAATGTTGTGAAGAATATAACGCATGACATGATATTTACATTTTCTTAAACTTGTCAACCTACCATTTATATTCTGGTATGTGACTGGTGTCAACAGAGGAAATGTGTTTTTTGTCTTGTATAAACAAGTATAAATTGCGTTTAGTGGGGACGATAGACTATCTATGTGATGCTGCGAACATGTAATTTTAAGCTTTTGTTTTGTTCAGTGAGTGCGTTTAAGTCACGTCGGCAGTATTTCAGAGATGACGTCTCCTTCAGGATTATTTCGCGGGCATACATAGATGTGTATGCAAAACTACTCAAAGTACTGCCTTACACACACACACACACACACACACACACGCACACACACGCACAAGCACACGCACACGCAGATGCCAACTGATTGGTATGCGGAATGCTAGCATCTCACTGAGGGCGATTGCAAGAGTTGTTGGTTGTCATCGGTCGACCCATTGTCCAGAAATGTTCAGCAAGGACCATCAAGCAGGGACATTAAGGGCCATCAGCGTCCAGGTCGATCACAAGTGACAACTCCGGGCGAGGATACAGCCCGTCTCAGAATCACAAGACTTCATTTTGTGTCCAACTGAAATCATGTCCGATATCGCCAAATCTCGGCCGGGTCTAAACACAAGGCCAGTCGTCATGGACAAAAATGCCAAGCCGCCTCGTACACATGTTGTCATGAGGCGGTAGCAACTCTACCTTGGCCCGCCCTCGAGTCCAGATCTCGATACCAGGTTTGGATAAGTCTCCTCTACTATGGTTAATGGTAGCATATTGATGCTATGGAAAGTACGGGGTGTTGGGATTCCTTGTTTTGTGTGTATGTGTATCCATTACTAAGACAGTGCAAGCACCGCGAAATGTCGTTATCAGTTCTTTATGTCATATACTTAATAAAAAGGATAAATGTTCAAATGCTTGCACCATTTACAATGTGAGTGAGTGAGTATGGCTTTACGCCGCTTTTAGCAATATTGCAGCAATATCACGGCGAGTGACACCAGAAATACACTTCACACATTGTACCCATGTGGGGATGCACCATTTACAAATATCAGCGACAGTATCTTTTCAATATATATTACAGATCTCGACCAAACAGTGATTATACCAATGTCAACTTGGTTCGTTCCATCCCCTTCTTCATGCAGGGCAGCGCCAAGTTCGTCGAGAGTGGTCGGTGGTTGTTGACGACGCAGTACACACCAGTCAATGACATTCTAGAATGTTTGATAGGTGAAAATTCGGACTGAATGCTGTCAATTGAAAAGTGGTTAGACTACAGAATACCGGATACCTTCCGCCATCTTTGAAAGCATGCGAGTTTACTTAGGGTTAGGGTTAGGGTAAGGTTTAGGGTTAGGGTTAGGGTAAGGGTAAGGTTTGGGGTTAGGGGTAGGGTAAGGGTAAGGGTTAGGGTGACGTGACACTAAACAATATGGCTGGTATGTATCCGGTATTCTGTAGGTGTACAATATGTTCTCCTGTTGGAGATACTCAGTGACGAGTCCTATGTGCTCTTGCGTTGTCATCTTGAAACACAAAACGTGGGCGCGGGGATGGTACCACGTGTACCTCCAGAATGTCGTGACGGTAGTTCTTTCCAGTGACTCGTCCTTGAATAATGTGCAAAGAATTTAGTGCCAGGCACAGTGGCCCTCACCATTACTGTCACCTATATCTCCGTTCTTGAGATTGTTTTGAGAATTTGAGAGACAGTTTGACTAGGGTTTCATACACATGCGTTCTGGTGAAACTGACGCCTCTCATCAATAGTGTTTGTCTGTCGATATCGTGAATGTAATCTGCTGCGAGGGGTGTCCCAGAAGTTTCGGCCTGACCATGAAAAATACGATATGTATGAAAATCGTTCTAGCTATTTTTCAACATTGTCACCCTTGACTTATATACTCTTGATCTAACGTTTCTCCAACATTTGTAACCCATCCGAAAGCCACAGTTTGTCACGTGACCGTAAAAGGTCCTCCACGGCAGTAACAACGTGTTCATTTTCTCAAATTTGCGGCCTCGGAGCTCGGATTGAAGGTGAGGTGAGGTGAAATTGGGTTTTACGTCGTGCTTGAGAATATTTCGCTCATATGACGACGTGCATACGTGTGTATGTGTATGTGCGGCTGCTTGTACTAGCCCAGACTTAAGCTGGTTTTATAGTGCTAGCCCACTGAGATACCATGCCGCAGTGAAGCATGAATACCCCACTCAGACACATTATACTGACTCCGAGCCGACCAGTCCTTGTACCCATTAATGCCGAGCGCCAGGCAGGGACCAACAAGTACCATATTTTAACGTCTTTTGGTATGACGCCGTCGGGGATCGAACCCGCGACCTTCCGCTCTCCGGGCGGACGCTCTAACCACTACACCACGGAGGCGGTCAGCTCGGATTGAAAGAGGAAGAAGGGGGGACTAGATCTGGAGAATAGGCTGGATGTGGGAGGATCGTAAAGCGGCAGTCCTGTGCAGCGGTGACTGCTACCTGAGCAGTGTGAACTGGAACATTGTCTTGAAGCAGCCAGACTCCTCTGCGAACCTTACCTCTGCGTTTTTCTTTGATGTTACCAAGCAACCAACGCAGTTCACCTGCATAATGTGCACCATTTATGGTCGCACCCTTCTGTAAATAGTCTATCATAATTATGCCCTCTAAATACCCTTGTGGAATCATCGGCACACCACTGTTTTACTGTACTATATGATGGGTAATTATCACCCAATGTTTATGTCATGTCTTCATGAATCTGCTTGTGAGTATACTCTTTTAAATGAAGATGTTTGATCACAGCTCTGTATTGTCCAATTTTGAGTTGCTGTTGGGAGTAAATGGGAGGGTAGTTAAACTTGACAGGAAGTATATAGGCAGTTCTAGTTTGTGCAATTCATGCTTGTCATGTTATCGTCAAACAGTAGTACTGTTCTACATACACAAGCAGTTTTGCTGTGTCTGGGGGATTCGTTCATGGTCAGGTCTGAAACTTCTAGGACACCCCTCGTAATTACTGAATGTGAAACATTAAGGGCTTGTATCTGTGTTGTTCCAACATTCCAACTGCATGTATCCGTCCTGACGTGACAGACGCCGCATGTCAAAAATACATTAAAACATCCAGTTTGGTTTTTGTCACTGAAATGTAGAGAAACACCCCCGCCATGTTCACGTGCACATCATGCAAAACGTTTGCACAAAATTGGCGTGTTTGCACGAAACTCATTCCATTGTGAATGAAATAATGATTTTCTAAATTCATATACAGCCAAATATATCATCCAAAATCGAATATGCCTCAGTTTTTTTTATATTATGTCTCATATCTTTGATAAAAAGGATTGGATGTCCGAAGAACAAAGAAAATAGGCTATAATCTGAACACAACACAGGAACAATTTAGGATACATAAAAATGATAGCGGGTGTCAAAAGCGCATGCACATAAAACAGCTTCACAATAACATAGTATTCTGACCGCCAAAAAGACTAACTATCAACTTAACTAACTTTCAAACTATCTTGGATGACGAGAAGGCCCCGGCATGATAATTGTGTCTCGGGTCAAAATATGGATTTATTAAGGACAATGAATGGTCTAATAAGCGTAATAAATGCCAAAAT